TCCCATGGCAATGCGCCTTTTAATTTCCTGGCTGCTGGTGCCAAGACTGTTGACTATGGAGCCAAGCAAACTAAAGCTGTGTACAGTCTCAATCTCTTCACCATCCATCCTGATGCTGCCAATTGGTCCAAGAGGAGGTAGCTGAAATAATCTGGGAGAGGTTGTTTGGTGGATGAAGTGGGGAACCTACCGCTCCTTGTGCCGCTTCAGAAGCCTCTTGACGTCCTCTCTGGCAGTGGGGACAGGGCCGGCTCTCTCCAAGGCCTCCTTCAGGAGCTGACTCTTTTCCAGGCCGAAGACATGTGGGGGAGCAGGCCCTGAAGCAGGGGGTGGAGGTGGCAGTGGGGGTGGTGGGGGAACAGGGGCCTGGAGGCTCGAAGAGGTAGGTACAAAAGTAAAACTGGAGGGAACAGGAGGCAGAGGAGGTGGGATGGAGATTTGGGGTGCAGGGTTTTGGGGAGGTGTGGTGGGGGGAGAGCTAGAAGTCATCTTGGGGTCTTTGGGGGGAAGCTGAGTGGAAATGAGAATGGGAATGAGCTTTCAAAATAGGGTGAAAATTTGGCTGCAAGATGAGGCTTGTAAAGATCTGAAATCGGAGTCTAAGAATGGGGAGCTGAGGTGGCCTAGTGGCAAGAAGCTGCCCTGAAATCCCAGAGGTATGCGGTTCAAATCCACCGGATGCTCTGCTGGAGAAGGGGGGGCAATCTCCTCCTGTACCAGTCAAATCCGATTTGACAGAACACACACACACACACACACACACAAAATAATAAAATAAAACTTAAATAAAAAAAAGAATGGGGAGCTGAGCAACGGGACTGAAAGGTGTGAGAAGACTCAAGTCTTGAGGGATCTGCGAGTTACCAGGTTGGTGCCTAATCGGCCTTTTAATCTCACATTTGTAGTATGGGCTGAGCCAAGTTTGTTCACAAAGGTGATTAAAGAGTTATTTTATACAGGCCAAGATCTGGAAATTCAAGGGTTAAATATCCGGGTTTATGAAGGCGGTTGGAACAGGTTGTGGTGATCTAAGAGTGGGATTCAGGGGCCCGGAGATGAGGACTCCGGGAATTTAGGCTCGGATCCCCATAACCCTGCACACAGTCCAGTCCAGAGTTCTGGACCTCTACCCTGTTAAGAGGTCAAAAAGGACACCTAGAAGAAAATGTTGCCCCGCTGTAGAAGTCCTACGGTTACTTAAGAAACAAATCAATGAACTGGGGAAGGCTTAAGATACCGGAGGTTGAAAGGCGTGACGACCACCGCAAGCAAAAAAGTATCCAGAGAGTTAAAAAAAAAAACACCTCCCGGTCAAGCAAGATGGCGGCGACCACAACCTTTATCACGTGGTGGGGGCCCTTTCACAAATCACATTGTAGAAAATACTAGGGCAGTGGGGCCTCCAGAATAGACTGTTGAGCGATACGCATCCTGATTGGCAAGGAGAGGGCGAGGGGCGTGGCCTTCACTAATTGGCCCGTAGGCTCGGAGCGAGAAAAGATGGAGGCCGGGGAGGGGTTTTTCTGCTTAGGCGGGAACCCAAGTTTCGTTTTGATTGGCAAGCTATTAGCCCACTGGTGGTGACACGTACTCTGATTGGTAAAAATATCCAGTTTCCACGTGGTGATTGGTTGCCGAGAGGCAAAGGAGAAGCTAGAAGAGGAAGCTTTGTGGTCGCTCTCAGGCACGCCACAGGCACTACTTGGGGGTGGTTCTACCCTGTCGGTGAGTAATCTTGGGCGAAGGGGGCCATCCACACGTGGCCAGTAGGGCAAGTGAAGCGCAAGCCTTTCCAGATATCTTCTGGGAATTATTTCCCGGTGTGGGAGACCAGAATGCTTAAATTTGTCTCGCTTTTCTTAACTGGCCTTACATCCGGGAATTTTCTCCTGGGCTGCCCTTTGGGCGTGTGGGCCAATGAGGATCCTCACTTAGGCAACTCCGCCTTCTAGGTCGCGTAAAGCATTATGGGACTCGTAGTGAGCATCTCGCTGTCTGTCTGGGGACGCGGGGAAGAGCCGCTGAGTTTCAGCTCCAAGTCGTTCGCCACACCGTTCCTTACTGCGTCTTGTTTGACTTCTCCCTGGGAAGAAAACTCCCACCGGTCCATTAGACAAGCAGTGGAACAAAGGAATAGACGAACGCAGGGCTAAAGTCGCCTTTTTTCCTTTTTCCAGCCCTACCTCGACATCTCGCGCCATGGCAGTTCCCGAGACCCGTCCCAATCATACTATCTATATCAACAACCTCAACGAGAAGATCAAGAAGGATGGTGAGTTTCTGGATAGGGCAATCCCTAGGCTGTATCGCAGCTGGCCTCCTCCATAGTCTGTTTCTCTTCAGCCTTCTTCAGTAATTACACGTGCTGCACCCTGAGGAGTTGCGCTGTAAACCCAAAGGAAGGAGGTTCGAATCCACCAGCTGCTCTGTGAAATAAAGCTGGGTAGTCCGTCTCTTGTGCCGTTTACAGGCGCTGAAAACTCGCTAGAGGGTCAGCTAAGTAATTTCTTATTTGATGGCGATGAATTGTTTTAGTCCATCCACACTTTATTAACTCTACCACTGCTTTTTGGTCTTCAGCTCTTAGCTTACATGATCTGTCTTCTCCCACATGCCTGTCTCTGACTTTTCGCAGGACCAAGGCATCAAGTCTTGATCCTTCTTGGTTGTCAAAGTCACAACCCACTGGCCTCTTGAGTTCTCTGTGCTTAAAAGCTGGAGCTTTATGGGTCCTTAGGTTCCCAGTGACCAGGCCACAATGAAACCCTGTAACCCTGGCGAAGAGAGTGGGGTAAAGAGCTGTGTAGACAACCCAAAAGCGTTCACGTAATCTACCAGCCACTCTGCAGGACAAAGATTTCTTTACTGCCTCTTAAAACCTATAGGAGTGTTGGTTCTAACTCACCGAAAGTAACAACAGCAGCCGTGGCTAACTAGATGCTGAGCTGTGCTTTTCTATAAATAATGATCACATTTTGATCTCACTTCAACTGTTAGAGCTGTTGGGTGTTGAGTGAACTACGATTCATTGCGACCCTAAGAACAGCATATCCAAACCTGCCCTGTCTTGCCCCAGCGTCACCATCTCTGCCATGCTCAAGCCATCTTGTTAAGGGTCTTTCTTTTGTGAGGACCTTCTACTTTTATCCCAGCATAATATTCAAAGGCATCAGTTCTTCCGTCTTCATTATGCATTGTCAAAACATTCAGATGCCTATGAAGCAATTAAAACAGAAAAGCTAATCTTTGGCACAGGCCCTTCAGACATGCGTCTTCGCCAAATTGAGCACAGCGGCTCCCTTATCCACCTAAAACCGTGGTTCTCAGCCTTGGGTCAGACTCCTGTGATGATAGTAGGGCCACAGTAAGGAGATGGCGGCTGAACATGGGCCAGAGTTTGGAAAGCTTGGATTTTGAAATTCGAGCCCAAGGTTTGGATATGCCGTTTGCGATATAACCTACTGACTGAGGTGACCTGCATTCATTTCCTCTAAAATAGTCGCTTTGGTGTGTTCAGCAGTGGCATTGGCAGGCAAAATAGGGGATTCCTCCTGCCTTGGGCTCTTTACTAACATCTCACCACCCCATCTCCTGTAAATCCCTCAGTGTAAGAAAATATTTATCATCCAATATATGTCAATAAAAAATTAGTTAATAAACAAAAAAAACAAACATCCGTGTGCTAGATCAAGGGCTCCTTAATCTCTCAACTGCTATTTTTGCTCTTTAGCACTTTAGAGGTAACATGTCTTTTTGATTTCTTGAAAATGGGTGTTGATTGTGGATCCAAGTAGATCTTTGGCAACAGTCTTTTTCCTATCTATCATGGTGTTTCCTGTTGGTCGTGGTGAGGATTTCTGTTTCCTTGATGTAATCCATATTGGTAGCTATAGTTTTTGAACTTCAATAAGTGCTTCAAGCCTTTACTTTCAACAAGCAAGTTTGTGTCATCTGCATGATGCAGGTTGTTTGGTGGGTCTTCCTGTGATCCAGATGCTACATTTTTTGTATAGTCTAGCTTTTCAAATGATTTGCTCAGTGCTCAGTTTACATCTTGATAGTATGGAGAAAGCATACAATCTTGACACACATCTTTCCTGATTTTAAGTCATGCAGTGTACACTTATTCTGTTTGAATCCATCCATTCTGCTTAATCTCCGTACAGGTTTTACATGAGCACAGTAAAGTGTTAAATTACAGTCAGGTGTCTTGAAGTTATATCTGCAGGAAGAAACTATTCCCATTTTTCAGATAAGGAAAATGGCTTCTACGTGCACACTGCAGGGAAAGTGGGTGAAACAACCAGCATGGAATTCTGCTGGAGAATATATTTGAAATCATTCAGTTACCCTAGTGTGACTGCAAGCTGGACAAAATGTGGGAATTCGCTAAACTGTCCGGTTTTTTTTAATGTTAGATATATTACCACTGTAGAAATTTTTGAAGTAACCAATGGAGTTTAAAATTAAATTTTAATTTATTCTTAAAGTTGCTGTTGAAGAAAACAAAAAGAAGGAATATAAATTCTGGAGACTAAGGTGTGCCTGATCAAGGCCATAGTCTTTGCAATTGTTTGCTGTGTGTCAGAAAGCTGGACAATGACTAGGGATGATAGAGAAATGATGTCTTTGAGCTGTGGTGCTGGAGAAAACGATTGAATATACCATGGACTGCTGGGAGAACAGGTTTATCCTAGAGGGGTAAACCAGGGTGCTCCTTGAAGGCAAGGATTTTGAGGCTTTGTCTGACATACTTTGGGCATGTTGCAAAGAAGGACCAGTCCTTGGAAAGAGACATCATGCTTGGAAGGGTGGAAGGACAGGACAAGAGGAAGATCTTTGATGAGATTGATTAATTGATTTAGTGACTGGGGTAATGAGGGTAGGTGTGTCAGGGACAATAAAGTTGGCACAGGATAGAGCAGGTTTCAGGGCTATTTTACATAGGGTCGCTATGATTCACAGGCAAGACTCGATGGCACATAACAACAACATACTTTTTTCCTTTCTTTTTTTTTTTTTTTTAAATTTTGTGTGCGTGTACCGTCAAATCAGATCTGACTGGTACAGGAGGATATTGCGCCTCCTTCTCCGGCAGAGCGTCTGGTGGATTTGAACTGTGTTCCTCTGGGATTGCACTGTAGCTTCTTACCACTAGGCCACCAGAGCTCCCCACAACAACATACTTTTTAAAAGTGTTCAGTTATGCAAGGTGGTGGGGCACTGGGGGTAGAATGGTGTCCTCATGGAACCACAATCCAATGAGAAGGACCTGTCATCTGCCAGATAACACATCAGGGACATGATGGGGTAGCTAGGCACAGGGAGAGGATGGGAGACTCCAGGGAATTTTGGAGAAGCCCTACAGTTAGAGGAAGCAGCATTTATGTTTGATGAGGGAGATGTTCATGACTTTACTTTGACCATGAACAAAAGGGCCTGCAGCATTCAGGGAACTACAAGTAGGTTTGTGTGACTGTAGCCTGTGAATAATGGAGATACTTTTGCTGAGCTCTTGAGGCCTTGGAGGCCTTCTTCCGAGGTTGCCATGGAGCTTGGCAAGGGTCACAGTTGTTGGTTGTTTAAAAATCTTCACAGCTGTCAGAGGGAAACTAGAGTAGGTGGGAAGGGAGACTGAGGAGTAGCTCTGAGTCCAGTGGAATGCCTGGTCTGTGAACTAGGTGTGTGAGACGAAAACCAGAAATGTCACAAAGACTTTTTGGCTAGTTGCTTCAAAACACTTTTTCTTTCCCCATTCCTCCTTTGTCCTGTTTTACAAAAGTCTTGTTTTGTATCTTTTTTATAAAACTCTTCTGCATAACTATCTTTTTACAGGCCTGCATGGGAAGACTGTCTTTTTCCTTGTTAAGCTTTAATCTTTTCTCAAGGAAAGCAGTCTCCTAGAGGTGATTGTGATGGATTTGATAGGCAGGTCCTGGTCCCAGCTCTACCATGTCCTCAATACCCTCAAGACACTGGGCAGGTAATGCCTGTCAAAGCCTATTTCCTATGCTGATAAAATGAGTGCTCATCGAACATAATTGAAGTGAAGTGGTTGTGAAAATTGTGTGGAAGTTATATAAATATCTGTGGAGAAAGGTTTCTTGCAAGCTATATTAGGCATGGGGCTATTAGAATAAATACATTGGAAAGACTTGTGGAAAAGTGCTCCCTGCTCACAGGTGAAGGATGAGGAAATCTGCTCTTGTTAAGATTTACTGCCTCGGACACCTGGTGGAGGACCACCATGAGTTGGAATTAATGGCAAGGAGTGTGGTCTTGGGCTTGGGTAGTTTTTCAAAGGGAGAGTTTAACATGCTGTCAGAGGTGAGAAATGCCATGAAGGAAAGTAAATAGCATGAGAAGAGACCACTTTTTTTTTTTTAAGAAGAACATTCAAGTTTGTTTTGGATGAATCTGCCAGAAAACTGAACTAATACTTTTTGTCTGTAATAAATTGAATTTTGGTTGTACCACCTTGGGAAAGATGGTGTGGGAGCAGAAATGACATGTCTTCCCAGGTTCCTACTCCTACTTCTGTCAATTCTAAATACCCTTGTCCCTCACTGACTCTAACCACTTTGCCACTGCATCTGCTAATCTCTTGCAATGTCTACACAGATCTCAACAGCAATACTCGGGATTATAAGGTGTAATAGTGAAGTAACAGATTACAATTCAGATTTGAAACAGGATTCAGTTCTTCAGTCAAGATAGCTTCTCAAGCATGCTCATAGGCCCTTTCAGTCCTGGCTACTAGTGTCTTCCCCTATAGCCCTTCCATAAACCTAGGTGAAGGCATCTGACCCTGGCTCCCAGGGGCAGCGGTTGTAGTACATCTTTGTCTTTGCTGCTGCTGATCTGGTCTCCATGTGTAGCATAGGAATAGCTGACCCATGAAGACTCGATGCACGTTCTGCCTTTTTTTTAAAATTTTTTATTATTCAAATAAAATTTTTCTTTTAAACTGGTTTACTTAAAAAGTTTGTATACATTTTTTTCACACCAGCTCTTTCCCATTTTCTTTGCGTGCCCGCGCATGCACACACACACACACACACACACACACCCCCTCACCCTCACCTGTCCTTACCCCTCTGCTCTTAACCTCTCCTACTTGGGTTCTCATACACGTTCTACAATAATGGTCTTATACAATATTTTTCCTTATAGGGCTGAATTAGTTCATTTAGCATAGTGCTAATTCCTCCCAAGTTAGGTCCTAATTTACAAAATCATTGCTCCTGCGTGATACATAGTATTCCATTGTGTTAATGTACCATAATTTCTCAACCCATTTAATTATGGTTGGACATTTGAGCTGTTTGTTTCTATGTTCTTGCAGTGGTGAATGCTGCTATGAACATTGATGTACAAGTCTCTGTCCCTCAGTTCACATTTTCTAAGAGTATATTCTAATCAGTGGACTATCTGGGTCATAAGAAATTTCTATTTTAAGCTTTCTGAGGAATCACCAAACTGCCTTCCAGAGTGGTTGTACCATTTTACAATCTGCATTCTTTGACAGCAGCAAGGTTTCCATTTTATTCCCTTGAACTTGCGCCATCTCTTTGTATGTCTTTCTCTCTCATTCCCTCCCTCACTCCCTCCTGTCTGGTCAGTCACAGAATTGGAATTTACTTTGGCAGAAGGTTTGATTTGGGGTGTCATATCAAGGAGCCCTAGTGGGTTCAAGTGCTTAGCTGCCGACTTAAGTGGGCTGTTAGAACTCTCTGAGGGAGAGGACTGCTCCTATAATGTTCTGTCCTGACTTGTGTGGTCACTGTGAGTTGGAATCGACAGCCTTGGAGAATTGGCTGTCTTGTTCTGAGACTCAGCCCACACCTAAGAATTAGTGCAAGTTGTGGTTCAATAGCAGAAAAGAGACCACTATCAGTTAGTCTCAGGAGTCATTTTTTAGTCTTTTATGAAGGACTAGTTAATAAATGCCCTGAATACCAAGACTTAGGACTTAAGGGTTAAGAATATCTGTTCTTAGGAGGGTAGCCCATCCACTTAGCGTGGACTTTCTGTGTTGAGACTCTTCCCAAACCTTGTCACGTGTCTCTCCATTTCTGTTTCTTTAGCTTGTAATAAATGTTACCAAAGTGTGATGACACATCCATTATTTTTTTTTTTTAAAAATTTATTATTTTTGTATGTGTACCGTCAAATCTGATCTGACAGGTACAAGAGGAGATTGTCCCTCCTTCCCCAGCAGAGCATCTGGTGGATTCGAACTGTGCACCTCTGTGATTGCAGTGCAGCTTCTTGCCACTAGGCCACCATAGTTCCCCCCCATTGCTTTTGAATTGGAAACAACTCATAGCTGATCCTCCAGCAGATTTTCAGAGGCTGTAAATTGCAAAGGAGGAGATTACCCATCTTTTGGAAGCAGGAGTGGCACTTCCTAAACCACATTCCTCTGGAAACTATAAACTTGGAAAAATGATAGTATGGAAAGGCATTAGATCTTTTGTTCATAGAGTCGCTATGAGTTGTGCTCGACTCGATGGCAACAAGCCTTTGAGTTGGCAGCATATCCCTGTACACCCTGAATTCCTCAAATTCTCCAATGAGATTCAACCCAAAAGGACAATTGAGACCTATAGGTTGGAAGGTCAGAGTGGACCCCAAGCAGGCATTCTGTGTGGAAAGCCAGTTTCTAATTTGTGACCAGTTGGTCAGAAAGAGTATCATGTGCACTTCCCAGAATTGCTCTTGATGTGACACCCTCAAATCAAAAGTATCTGATTATTTGGTATTGTCTTTTGTTGTTGTTGTTGTTATGTGCCATCGAGTTGCTTGCGACTCATAGCGACCCTATGTACAACAGCCCTAAACTCTGCTCTGTCCTGTGCCAATCACACTGTCTCTGACACTCCCATCCCTATTATCCCAGTCACTGAATCAATCCACCTCATAGAGGGCCTTCCCCTCCTGTGCTGTCCCTCCACCCTCCCAAGCATGATGTCCTTCTCCAAGGACTGGTCTCTCCTCACAACATGTCCAAAGTATGTTAGACGGAGCCTCAGAATCCTTGCCTCCAGGGGGCCACCCGGTTTAACCCTTTCCAGGATGAATCTGTTTGTTTTCCTAGCAGTCTATGGTACCCTCAATACTCTTCTCCAGCACCACAACTCAATTGTCTTTAGTATGAGAGTTTTCGTCTCACTCTGTGTGACTAGGGTTAGACTACTTGAGGGTGCTAAGAGCCCAAGACACACTTGATTTATTTTTCTTTGAGGAAGGTGTGTTTTTACAAATTAACAGATAGGATTTGTGGGACCCCTGAGTCATCCAGCTCTGCCTGCACCGTTTTTCCAAGAGCATGTGTTCATGTAGCTCCATCATATTTTGATCATTGTAATATTTCAAGCTTAAAAATACAGCTAGACTACCAAACTAAGACCAAAGGATTTAGACCTGTTTAATTGTGCCTGGAGTTGCTGTACAGTGGTAACATGTAGCTGCCGTGAGGCTGAACACTGTGACACTGATGTGTCAAATGCATTAATGGTTGGTTACCCAATGCAGATAGAGTGGGGTGTAGTTCTCTGATTAAAACAAGCTTGGAAGCAGAGTGGCATCCACTTCCGTAATAGCTTGTCTCCGGAAACCCTGTGAACCTGGTGAGAGTCTGAAAGACACCCAAGTGTTGAGGACTCTTTTTCATAGGGTCGCTATGAGTTGCTTGCGACTTGACGGCACTTAACAGCAACAACAATTGTGTCTGGTGGCCTAGTGGTAAGGAGTTTCACTGACAATTCAGAGGCACACAATTCAGATCCACCAGCTGCTCTGTGGGAGAAAGATGGGCAGTCTCTTCCCTTGCAATTAGCTGCTCTGAAAACCCCCTGGAGGGGTCAGTGTAGGTCGGTTCTAACTTGACAGTACACAACAATTGTGTTGTACAATTGAATATGAAATACTAATTCCAAGTAATAAGAAATGTGAGTCTCAAACTCATCTCCAAGAGGGGAGACCTCTTGAGGTGCTATGGCCTGTCTTCTGCTAAGATCTGGGTGACTAGAAGGAAGCAGCTGTCCAAATACCAGAAGGGTGTTCCAGGCAGAGGGAACAGCCAGTGCAAACTCCCTGAGGTGGAATTAGTGGTGTAAGAAAGGACTGTGAGGTAGAATACAATGAGAACTGAGGAAGTTGGCTGGGACCAAGTCTCAACAGGCCTTGTGTTAATGTGCTTTTGACAGACAGAACTCTTAATTTATTGAGCATTTTATTGTGTGCCAGGTACTTTTCTGAGCCCTGTGTTTGAGTGAACTCAGTCTTTACACTGCAGCTGGCCCTGTACTGTCACTCCTCATCCATGTCACAGAACAGGATGCTGGACCCTTGGCGTTTTGGGTACTCTGTCAGATGGACTCTGGTCTGGGCTGAACATCATCTGAAAAATGGAATGGAACCCAGGTCTCTGGTCACTGGTGGCTCTTTCTTTTCCCACTACAGAGCTGAAGAAGTCCCTTTACGCCATCTTCTCCCAGTTTGGCCAGATCCTAGATATTCTGGTATCGAGGAGCCTGAAGATGAGGGGCCAGGCCTTTGTCATCTTCAAAGAGGTCAGCAGCGCCACCAACGCCCTGCGCTCCATGCAAGGCTTCCCCTTCTACGACAAGCCCATGGTGAGTTCTGTGGGTGTGGGGGGGAGACTGGGTGGAGCAGGGGTGGCTGGATAAAGGTGATTCCTCCTGTCACCTGTGAGAAGAGGAAGTGGAGCTGAGTGTTTAGGTAGAAACCCTGTGTGTGATGTGGACTAAGACCTAAAGATAAGAGCATATGTTACAGAGGAACAGGGTCAAGTTCACGTGGCTGGAGTCCAGAGAGGAAGAGGTTGTGGCCTGGAGAGAGGATCAGATAGTAGGCTGAGTGGTATTTTATCCCACTGAAAGGTCACCTATGCTAGGGAGCCATGGGAGAAGGCTTCCTGGCTGTTAGAGGAAGGGGAAAAAGGTCCAGTCCCCAGGGTGAGGCTGGATTGAGTACCTGCAGAGAGGGGTGGATAGGACCAGACTAGGACAGGATGGGCTGCTGATGTTCTAAAAGTCCCAAGTGTGTGCCTTAAGGAACAAGCCCATAGAGGAAAGGAATGGCCTAAATGAAAACTGCTGGAACATACCTTTCCCGTTGTCCTGCAGTGAGTTTACAAGTTTCAGTGAATTGGATTAGACTGCCAATCCAGCTTCTTTGGAGAGGTGATAGCTGGTCTCAGTGCCTGGAGGTCTTGGGCGAGTGGCCTCAGTACAGGTCATGCAGATTGGTTTTGTGGAAGAAGTGGCCACAAGGACACTGAACTCATTGCTGTTGAGTGGGAACCAACTCATAGCTGACGTTTTTTTAGAGGCTGTAAATCACAGGAGAGTGTATATCCTTCTCCCTTGGGGCCACTGGTGGATTTGAACCTGTAGAGAAACGTGGCCTTTGGGTTAGCAGCACAACTCTGTCCGGACTGCTCCATGAGAGCTCTGTATATCGGACACACATGCGTGCGTGTGTGTGTTGTGTGTGTGTTTTTGTGTGTGTGTGTGGTTGTGTGTGTGTTTTTGTGTGTGTGTGTGGTTGTGTGTGTGTTTTTGTGTTTGCGCGCATGCGTGTCTTGTTCCTCCTTAAGTTTGTCCCCAAATCGCTACTTGGACCATCAGTCTTTTTAGCTCAAGTTCAAAACTTGTCCTGTTTCTTTCACTCACCCCTCCACTACTGCTGACCTGTTTACAGCCCCCACCCTTCCTTACCAGGTCTGTGGCAGCAGCCTGCTCACTGGTCCCCTAGTGTCTGCCTGTGCTCTCTACAGGCTGCTTTCCCTCCCACCACCAACCCAGTGCACTTCTCAGAGTACTTGTGACCTGTGCCTTTCTGTAGAGTCCCCCAATTTCCTCACCAGTCCTTCCAATTTCCAGCCCCTCTTAACATATCTGGCCTCATTCTCTCCCTCTCTTGCTTATACTGTCCTTGCTGTTCTTGAAATACAGAGTACACTTAAACTCTTTGTACACTTTGCTAGACTGTTTTTCCCCTCAAATCCCTACGTGGCTCTTGGTTGTGGTAAATCTTTTTATCAGAACAGACTGCCACATCTTTTCCTTGTGAAACAACTGATGGGTTGGAACAGCTGACCTTTCTGTTAGCAGCCAAGTGATTTAAACAGCTGTGCGCATTTATAATCCTTTGAGGTAACTGATAAAAGTCCCATTTTGCAAATCAAGAGGTTGAGGCCAAAAATTTTTCTTTATTATTTTTTTGTGTGTATACCGCCAAATTGGATCTTACTGGTACAGGAAGACATTGTCTCTCCTTCTCCAGCAGAGCATCTGGTGGATTCAAACTGCTCACCTCTGGGATTGCAGTACAGCTTCTTGCCACTATGCCACCAGAGCTCACTGAGGCCAAACAATTTTCTTAGTGTTCCTCAGGTTTGTGGTGGGGTCTGGTTTTGAACACAGGCTATTTGACCATCACATCCATGCTCTTGACCCTTCCTTTTGTGCAGAGAATCCAGTATGCCAAGACGGACTCTGATATTATCGCCAAGATGAAGGGCACCTTTGTGGAGCGGGACCGCAAGCGGGAGAAGAGGAAGCCCAAGAGCCAGGAGACCCCGGCTGCCAAGAAGGCCGTGCAGGGTGGGGCGGCCACCCCTGTTGTGGGGGCCGTCCAGGGGCCCGTGCCGGTAAGCCAAGCCTAGCACATGGTCTCTGTTGTCCTGGGGACTTCCTCAGCCTCTTGGCCTGGCCAGGTCAAGGTGGAGGAAGCTAAGCTTCTTGAGTATTCAGACTTTTCTCATGTGCCTGCCTCAGGTGGTTGGGCTCATCTCCTTCCCTAGTCAACCTTTTCTGTCTTGTCCACTATTTTTCTTTTCCTTGCCCTGTAGTTAATGATTATTTGATGGTTTGGGGTTTATTTTTGTGGGGGGTGTGTGTGTGTGTGTGTGTGTGTTTTTCCTTTCTTTTCCCCTAGGCATATACTTAATGCTTATTAGTTGGTTATATTGATGAATTTCTATCTTGGTTTTTTATAATCTGGATTTTTGCCCACCCCCGCTTCTTTGGTCTGACATTCTTCATACCCTGGGTTTTCTGTCAGATGGCCCCCCCTTTTTTAAAAAAAAATATGTTTATTATTGTGATTTGAGTGAAAGTTTACAGAGCACTTTGGTTTTCCACACATCCTTGCAGACGTGGCTTGTTTTCCGAGTCCCCGTGATCCCCACATTGTGACCATACTCTTCCCATTCTCTCTCTGTGATTCTCATTTACACTTCTTTCATTCCCCTTCCTGCCTTCTGGGTTTTATTCTTGGGCAAATTCCACCCTTTGTGATTGTTTGTTCTGAAAACTGAGTGCATTCCTGTTCTTGATCACCTCATAGTCAGATTTGTCCAGATATGGAACCACGGGTGAGTCTGTTTCAGGCTCATAGAATGACTTGAGGGCTGTTATCTGGGGTCCCTAATGACTTTCTTAGTTCCATCTCCAGCTGACAGCTCAGCAGGCGGCCCCCACTGCTGGCCAAGTCTCTAGTCCTGCTGCTTGCTCTTTCTACAGGGTATGCCTCCTATGACGCAGGCGCCCCGCATCATGCACCACATCCCGGGCCAGCCTCCCTACATGCCGCCCCCTGGCATGATCCCACCACCAGGCCTCGCACCTGGACAGATCCCGCCCGGGGCCATGCCCCCTCAGCAGCTCATGCCGGGTCAGATGCCACCTGCGCAGCCTGTAAGTGTCCTGTCCCCTGGGTCATTTGGTGGGTCTTGAAAACCATTTCTGTTTGTTTATTTTAAAATTCTTTTATTATTATTATTATTAATTTCAATGAACATCTACAGAGATTTTGGAATTCCATTCATTCCTTGTTGCACTTTGAAAACCATTTTGTATCCATTTCCTACTCCTCCATATTCTGAGTATCACAAGAGAACTGGTCTAGTTCCGGTTCTCTTGAGTTCTGCTTAGTATGTGTGAAAAGTGGGGGGAGGAAAATGATGTGTATAGGAGTCTCTCTGGAATAGACAGACCTTTTTAACCCCCTGTTGTGGAATTGATTCTGATGTAGTGCCCTCGTATTTGAGAGGTGACAACTATTCCTTCTCTTTTTCTTTTCCTTTGTGTACCATCTAATCCGGTCCGCCTGACACAGGAGAAGAGCCCCTCCTTCTCCAGAGGAGCATCTGGTGGAGCGACAGCTATTTCAGTGTGTGGGGTGGTGCTCAGTCCTCTGGGATGTGATTGAGGGCCTCTCTAAATGTTGAAGCTTTAGCAGTGGAGTAGGGTTCTGAGGCGAGAGAGGAATGGATGTGATTATTAGAAAGGTCATTGTAGCCTGTGCCTGGATGCATTCAGTGGGCTGTGGAGGACCTGGTTCCATGCCAGCCCCACTCCAGGCACTCAGGGCATAGCAGTGACCAGAGTAGGAACAGCTCTATGCCTGCCTGTGGCTTAGGGTCTACTGGATCCTAAAGGCGGTGGACAGACAGGTAGGAACATGAGTGTCAGGTACCAGAAAGACTTGAGGTGGCATGAGGGATCAGGGTTAAGAGGGAATATGAGTATTCTTCTTTTTATTTATTTATTTATTCATGAACATTTACAGAGATTTTTGGATTTCCATTCATTCATTGTTGCACTTCCCCCTTCCCCCCCCCCCGGGAATATGAGTCTTCTGTATCCCATTATGAGACCTCTTTTTTTTCTTCTTTTTTCCTCACAGCTTTCAGAAAACCCACCAAACCACATCTTGTTCCTCACTAACCTGCCAGAAGAGACCAACGAACTCATGCTGTCCATGCTTTTTAACCAGTGAGTGCGGCCTGTGGTTGGCGGAGCCAGGGCAAGAGCTTGTAGATTCAGGCTTCAGAACTCAGCCATGAGCTGGCTCTGGCTTTGGGGTTGGGGTGGGGTGACTGGAAGGTTGGGAGGCAGCTGGGGCTGTGTGGTTAATGAGGCTGGAATAGTCAGCTATTGCTGGGTGTCTCGGCATCATTTTTCTAGTCTCTAAATAGAGAACTGCAGGAGCATGTAAAATGATAGAACATTGAATCTGGTAAAATGAACGCTTTCCAAAACCGGGTGTTTGGTGGGTAATTAACACCCTGTGCATGGGGTTTAGACCAGCGTATCCCTGTTTAGAGTGACTGGTCACCCTAGAGTGAATTTGGGGAGGGGTATGAATGCATGGTGCCATGCTGTCTCCTACACTGTGGGTTGTGCATTCGTCCCAGTCAGTGTTTGTGGTTGCAAGATGGAGGGGAGAAATCATTGGGGCCAGCTCTTGGAGAGGAAATTTTGAGGCCCTGTGTGAAATAGTAAAACATTGTCTTAGCTGTACCATGACAGGGAGACAGTCCATGCTATTGGAATACTGATGGTAGTTGACTGCTGGGGAAGGAAGTAAGGAAAGAGAAGAGGGACATTTAAGCAGCAGCTTGGTGTAAACTTTAGGGTAGTGAGTGGTGTGTGGTGATCGGGATGGTGTTTGCGTGGCTGATTATGTTGGAAAAACCATTAAAGTATACACTTGCTTTTATATTAGGGTTTCCAAGCTCAGCACTAAGTGCTTTATAGGCCGGGTAATTCTCTCTTGTGAGGCTGTCTTTGGCATTGTAGGACGTTTGGTAAAATTCCTGGCCTCTGCTTACTACATGCCAGGAGCACTACCATTTCCAGTTCTGGGAACAAAAAAATATTTTTTGATATTGCCAAATGTCCTCTGGAGGGCAAAATTGGTCCTTAGTGAGACTTACTGGTTACTGTCATGCTTTATATAATAAACTTGAACATTGGAACTAAATGGTGAGACTGGATTCCTGATATGTGTCCTTCTGTCTCCCAGGTTCCCTGGCTTCAAGGAGGTGCGGCTGGTGCCCGGGCGGCATGACATTGCCTTTGTGGAGTTTGACAATGAGGTGCAGGCTGGGGCTGCCCGTGATGCCCTACAGGGCTTCAAGATCACCCAGAACAATGCTATGAAGATATCCTTCGCCAAGAAATAGCACCTTTCCCCCATGTCTTCCCCTGGCCCTGTTTCTGGGTTGCCCTCCCCGCCCCCTTGGCTTACCCCCTTGAAGGTAAGTCCCCCTCAGGGGCCTTCTTTGATCCGTGTGTGAGTGAATGGTCGCCACACAGCATTGTACCCAGAGTCTGTCCCCAGACATTGCACCTGGCGCTGTAGGCTGGAATTAAAGTGTTTTTTTGTGTTTTGGGTTTTTTTTTTCCTTACAACCATGTGTGCTGCTTTTCTATTGCCTTCAACCCATATCAGCTTTCTGTGTTTGAAGAACCTCATAACATGTTTGCCAATTTATTGAACAAACAAGTAAACAAGTCTGTCTTGGGGTGCTCCTAAGAGTCAAGGACGGTGAAACTTCATCTCACCTACTTGGACCATGTCAAGAGAAGCAAGGCAAGTCTTTGGAAAGAAATCTCATGTTGTGAAAGTTAGAAGATCAGAGAAAGGGAAGACCCTCAGTGAGATAGATTGACAAACAATGACTACAAAAATGGACTTGAGAGTGATAGAGATTGTGACAGTGACAGGATAGGACGTGGTTCAGGCCTATTGTTCATAAGGTCAGTAAGTTGTAATTGACTTGATAACCTAACAGCAATATAACATGGGGTTTGCCAACCTGGACAAACAGAATGGTGGAGGGATAGTCCAGTTTTGAATCAACTGTGCCTACTTTTACAGTTCTCTGTTGTGGTCCGATCACCAGGAAGTGAAAACTCAGGTCTGCATTATATAGTTAGGCACACAGCATGGCACAAGGTATCTATCACCATTAAGGGTTCAGGACACAATTCACTTTGTAGACTTATTTCAACAGTTTTTAGCAATAAGTTTTTCATCCTTTTTTTTTTAATTATGCTCCAAAGTTCCTTGTTTCCCAGCAGTAGTTTCTCACAAGACGTTGGGAGCTTTGGGCAAAGAAGGATTCCTATGAGAAGTGGGTTGCTTGTGAAGATGATGGAAGGCTAGAAATGTCAGTCTGGTGTGAAAACATGTAGTTCAAGTAAACAGGCACAGGCAAGCTTGCTTACACAGACGAGGCTGCTGACCAGAAGAAATAGGAACAAGGTACATGGCCGTCTCAACGGCAGCTCAGTTGGCCTTGCTGGTCCTCTCTCAGCCAGGAGTATCAGGAAAGTGATTGGAGTGATTCCCCACCAGTACTCTGGTGGCGAGCTGGTTAAGTACTCAGCTCCTGACCGATGAAAAGTTGACTGTTAAAGTCTCCCTGGTGGCTCTGTGGGACAAACCCTGGGGATCTATTTCTATAGAGATGACGGCCTAGAAAACCCTGTGTGGGTCAAGTTTCCTCTGTCATGTGGGGCTACTGTGAGCTGCCATTGATGTACCTGTGCCCCAAAACATCCTCCTGCAGTGGGGAGTCCAGGAATGTAGTTTATAACAAGATGGCTTTGTGCTCAGCTGAAATGAAAACAAGATGGATTGAAGAGAAAACACTCTTGGAAGAGTAAACTGGCTTGTGAATATGTGTCACTTAGGACATTTTCTAACTTCCTAGCAGTTGAAAAATGGAATAATTTGTTGGGAAAATAACCTAAAAAGAAAAATACGATAAAGCAATCATACTAACTTCACTGTGGACTTGACTACCAAATCTCTTAAGCTTAAAACCTGCTCTGTTTTCTTGTTAAAGGAAAGTATCAATTGTCACAACAATAGACTGGCCCCAAGTGTAGGCTTTTCTTATTCACTTGGGAGGAGAAAGGGGTCACCATTACCACCACCTTCACTGTACATTGTCAGTTCACTGGGAACAGCCTGTCACTCTGGCAACCACAAGTCTGGTGGCTGAATGGAAGGCTTCTGTGGTTACGGCATGATTAAAAGTCTTCAACTACAAAGGGCAGTTGTAACTCATCAGCTTCTCCATGGGAGAAATATGTGGCTGCTTCTGGGAAGATTTAGAGCCTTGGAAACTTAAGCATTTGTCTGTACTGCAAGTTACTGCGACTTGGAATTGAGTCAACCAAAGCAGGTGGTCTTTTGATTTGATGGTAAGATGATCCTGGTTTCTACTCATTTGTAGCCTGTGAGCATTCTGTTTTATCAGTACTGTCACTGTGTGTGTTCTCTATTAACTACTTAGCAAAGCACTCAAATTATGCAAGTAGCATTTTAATTATAAGATGAGCAGCGATGAGCAAAGTCCGTAATTTCAGGTACCTTATTGATGAAAATAAAATGTGGCAGAACACAGGAACAGAGTCATCAAGACAAGGTCTTCCAGGAGCATCTTTGAGTAGAGCTATTTTATGCCTTCACCTTAGTGCTATGGTGCAAGACTGTAGGGATTGCTTAGGTCTACTCGTGGCTCCTGCTGAACGTTGGCCAAATCTGTGAGTATATATCTCCTGGGCCTTCTCACATCTGGGCTGGCCAGGCCAAAATTAGGAGGAAACTGCCCATCTTCTGTGGAGCCGCTGGTGGGTTTAAACTACTGACTCGAGTAACTTGGTTCAAATGAAACAGCAAAAATGAAGGATGATGTGATGGAAGGAAGGGGCCGGGAGACAACGGGCCAGACAGAAGCCAGAGATTGGCTCAGTGTGTCCTTCCCTGATCAGAAAGGTGGTAAAAAAAATAAGAATTTTAAAAAAGCACAATGGAGAGGAGAAAACTTACAGTGACTGAGGGTCCAGATGCTATGTAAAATTGATAACCTTCTGATGGCCACTAATTTATTGTAAAAAAAGGAATGTACACTAACATTATTAAGAATAAAAGCCATATTGAGTGGCCTACGGCTGTTGGCTAAAAATGCAAACAATAAGATATAAGGTCAGTTTAAAAAAAAAACCCAAAAATTTATTTTCTCATATTAGGCATCATAATGTTGACTATGGTTCACAGTAAGTATGGAGAATACAGAGGTCTTTGACAGCAGATTTTCCCAACAGAACTTGTCTTTGATTTTCTTTTTAATTTTATTAATTTTAATGAACATTTACAAAGATTTTGGATTTCCATTCATTGTTGCACTTTTCTCCCTGCCTAGCCATTACCACACACCCCACCCCACCTCTGCATTTCTGTTCTCTCTTTGAAAAGTAAAAAATTCTTTCTTTGGTATACAGTCCCCCCGACACCCTTTCTACTGCCCTGGGTACACTCCTATGCAACCTTAATTCTGGACTCTTGTGATAACCATAATACCCTGTCATATATTGCTTTTAAATTTTCCTCTCATTTGTTTCAATGCTGTATGCATAATTTATTCCGTTTTTCTCAGTCTTTTCCCAACCTTGGTGTCAGTCCCATTATACAACAGTGGCACCATGCAGTATTTGTCCTTTTGTGACTGAGATACTTATTCAGCATAATGTCCTCCAGAGTCACCCATTTTGAATAATATTGCATGAGTTCCTTGTTTTTCAATGCAGCGTAGTATTCTATTGTGTGAATATATCACAGCTTCTTCATTCATTTGTGGGTGGGCACCTGGGTTTTTTCCAACTCCTTGCTATTGTGAACAAAGTCGTAGTTAACGTGGGTGTGCATATATCTGCTTGGATGTCGGTTATGGTCTCTTTAGAGTGTTTTCCCAGTATTGGAATTGCTGGGTCAAATGTTATCTCTATTTGCAACTTTTGGAGAAAGCACTACATCGTAGTGTGTTGCACCATTTTACATTCCCACCAACAGTGAATAAGGGTTCCAGTTTCTCCACAACCTCGCCAGCATTTGTTGCTTGCTGTTCTATTAAATTTTACTATTCTGGCTGGGGTGAGATAATATCTCACAGTTGTTTTGAGGTCAATTTTTGATCACTTCACACATGCTATCAAAATTATGCATGTATTTTACCTATAAAGTTCACTCTGTGTGGCACACACACTAAACAGCTACACTGAGATTCTTTTTTTTTAAATTAAATGTTATTAGTTTTAATGGAACATTTACAGAGATTTTGGGTTTTCGTTCATTCTTCTTCCTACCCCCCAAATATCTGCTTTTATTGTCCAATTGCCACAGAGCTTGTTGAAGCCAGTTCTGATTAATCTCCTTTGTCAGTGTGTCCTTTGCCATTCGCTATCACTCCTCCCTGAGAGAGACTTCACCCTGAGTCATAAGAAAAAGGGGATGGTGTATTCTCTTAGCTACTTCCTGCTGAAAAGGGATGCTGTGGGTTTCAGGGTGAAGATCTTTCACTACTCTAAAGGGCCCCTTTGGCAGTAGGAAACACATAGACTATTATGGAGATTGATTTTGGAATTTAGATGCACTGTTATCATTTGTGCTTAGCCGTACATGTTCATATCCTTGAAGATGTATCATGGAAGTGTTGCAGCCTAGAAGACACAAATTTAACAAGTTAAAAAGTACATGAGTCAAAAATTAAAACAATATTCTGAGTAGAGGTTTTAATAGTGACACAAATCAAGTTACAGAGGGAAGGTGGTTCTTACAATTAAAGGCCTATTGACTAGCACTTTGTCTACTATAGTGTAGAGGTTAGGAACCACAAGATGTAGAGGCTCAGCTATGTCATTTATAGTTCTTTAGTCCTGGAGCAAATTCCGTCTACCACTGGGTTGTTTTACAACTTGGAAGTTTGCATGCAAGGTAGAGGTGAAGTAAGGAACTACTTATGAGGTTTTCCATCCATTCCCATTCCAACAACTAAGAAATAGAAGAGTTGGGACCTCAGAAGGCTTTTAGGACCAATTAGTAGGCTCTGTGTCCAGGAGAAAATGTTAATGCTCACTTATAGCTCTTCTGGGAGGATCTAAATCGTTGAAGCATTCTCCTTTGTTTCCAGCTTGGAGCTGGGGCCTGTAAGTCCTGTCTGCCAGGAGGACCTGATGTGGGTCACCTTGGCCAAGTGTCCTTCAGATCCACACTTAAAGCAAGTGAGTGGGAGCTTCCTCTCTACTCCCTTGCCTATCTGTGGCTCTCATCTGTGACATTGTCTACTGATACACTGAGATTCTTGAATTCCCAGTTGCACCTGGAACTTGTAATGGTTGTGAACGTCTTATGTGCCATTGAGTCTTTTGCGACCCTATATGTACAAGAGCCCTAAATGCCATTCTATTATCCTATGCCAACCTTGCTGTCTCATTCCCACCACTCCATTCAGAATCGATCCATTTCATCGAGGGTCTTCCTCTCCTGCACTGTCCCTCCACTCTCCCAAACATGATGTCCCTCTCCAAGGACCAGTCCCTCCTTGCAAC